GCTCTCGAGGGAAGGGCTTCAATATCCCTGGAACCAGCTGGTGCGGATATTGGGTGCAGCTAGGAACAGATGTTTTTCCCTTCAAGTGACATACTCGCCAGAAATCACACGAGCTCATTCATAGACGGAGAAAATTTGGGCATTCCGAAAGCACCCCTCCAGGGGAAGCCTTCGCGGAGCGTCACCAGCATGTCACGTGTGTTCGGTCGGCCCTGAGCGGCCGTCTCGGGGCGTCGGCATTGGTGCCACCGCCCCCGCGCTGGTGCACCACCGCCGCCGCTGCCGGTGCATTGCCAACGCTGTGGACTAAAACACTTCATGGTAGCAGCACTTAGAGTGATGCACCCGGCTCGTTGGCGCGGGAATTTCATACTCTTGACTAATTTCAAGACAAAAATGTCACAGGATTTAGAGTAATTCAGTGCTTTCAGTGCTAGACACGTGTGCTTAATGGGCGCACAGTGTCTTAAAATGCTGTGACAGACGTACATGGAGGTTCGTGTGAGCGAAGTGCTAGCAGTCCGTTGTTAAGATCTCAGTATTTGTTTGTCACGGAAGTCGCTGTCGTGGACTATTCGTGTGTATATGTTCACTAGATGGCACCACTGATCGTCACGTGTTTCTTACATTCTCGTCTTTGGAGATTTGCAGTGCATTCAGCTGCTGAGGCTATATGGCTGCGTCTGATTCGCACCCTGGCAGGAAGGGCGGGTACCGCAGGGAATCGAGCCCCGTACCTGGTTTTCCAGACGAACGGCTAAATCAGCTCAATATCCCTGGTTTAGCAATTCTTTTACATTCCTTGTGCATGATGACGTTTAAGAAAGAACTACTAGTGCAAGTGGCAATACTGGAGTGTGCTTCAAGTACTAATTTCGGGCTTATTCTGGTATGACCAAACGGCACGTTTTGTGAGACACGGGACTGCACCGTGGGTGCTTGTCTGGCGGCACCCGTCCTGACCGTCCCCGTCTGGCTGCAGAGGGTCGCAAGGTGTACGACCGCAAGATCCGCGACCAGGAGCGCCACGTGGAGAAGCTGCAGCTGATGCTGGAGGACAAGATCCTGAACAGGCACACCGAGCTGTGACCCCGGTCGGCCGCCTGCTGGTGGGACGGTGCACACACTGTACGGGTGCTGTTATACGGACGGCGACGGCAGTTGGTAGCAGGTGTTGCTGAACCTGGCTGATTGTAGCGACCTGCAGACCAGGGTTTATGTTTATTTTACGGGCTGGCGCGTTCACACGCAGATATAGTTGTCTGGCAAGCTGGCACGTCCCACCGAAGATTGGCGTTTAGATGGCTCGTGTCAACGGACCGATTCAAACACACAGGCGGAACCGAGACAACAAACGAGTACATGGGTGAAACAGGGGTGGCAAACAAATTTAGGGATAACGCAGGGTAACAGGACGAACGAGATCCAATCGAGGTCCAATCTGATCGCGGGTTCAATCTCCCGAGTCCCAAGTCCTGAGTCCTGAGTCCCGAGTCCCGAGTCCCTAGTACCGAGTGCAGAGTCCAGAGTCCCGAGTGCAGAGTCTGAGAGTCCCAAGCCGGAGATTCCGAACGTGCCCGGTGAACGGCGGACGCCGAGAGGCGAAGCGATCGAGCCTGTGGCGTCCTTCCAGCGCTGGAAACTTATGCACGAAGCTACTGCAGTAGCCTCGCGCATAATTTGTTTACTGCTGCAGTAGCAGGCTGCAGTGCCGGCGTCGCTGGCTGTGGTCGCTGCTCAGGACCCGGGGACAGGGAGCTGCCTTGTACGAGCGAGCGGATCCAGTTCTTCCAGGGGAAACTTCCACTGCGTTCGGTAAATCCCCACTGACCTCTCCCCACCGATCCCCCTCCTCCCACGCACACAGCCGTTCTGGCCCCGTTCTAGCCCTGCCATACATCGCAGCAATTGTGACACCTTTATTGCATTTCGTCATGGGAACTCATCAATAAATTGGCCGGAATGGGATAGGAGGTGTAGATTTAGGCAAGTTTGGCGAGTCGAAATGAATGGACCGCATCGGTGGGATTTCCCCACTCCGTTGTCATCCTCAGTAGACGGCGGAAGCAGTTGTCACCAAGTCACGACGTCCCAGGTTGTACGTGATCATTTCTGAATGCTATCCAACGCGCGTGCCCATTCTGCCGGTGGTGACCACGCCAAGATCTGTTAGCATATGAGGGTCGTGCGTGAGGTGCTCTGGCAGACTGGATGCCGCGTGTGGTTTCGATGGCTCGGCCGTGTGATAGAAATTGGGCAGTCTGTGACGTGCCGAGTGGCGCTGTTGTTGCTGTTGAGCGGTGCTGTCACTACTTTTCTACTTTTTTATTTACAGTGGTGTTTGTACTGAATCCGTCAATCTCTCGTCATTTTTGGAGTGTGTTTGTTTCTGTAATGATTTCTCTGGCCCGCGTTATGTCACGTTGTAAAAAGCTCTCGATGGGATGCCACTGTTTATCCACGAGGCTGTACGTGTTTGCGTCTCTTCTCTTCTTTTGAAAGGATGCTATCCGCACCTTGTCCTTCCGTCTGCCTCATCAATATCATATACCTTACTGTGGTCACGGAGACACTCCTTTGCTGGAGCCTGTCATGTTTCCCTGTGTTGTAGCGTCTTGAGGGTTTTTCTCGTAGCGTGTCCACATCCGGAGGCGTGACGCGGAACGATTCCGTCCATAGAAATAGGCAAAGGTGGTGTGGGTGTTAAAGGTGCCAGACGCCATATGGCATGACTGCTTGGGTTGTTAATGGTACGTTCTGAAATAAATCACGTACTGAGCAGAATTCAGTGTCCCGTTTTTGAGTCATGTGGCCCAGGAGCCATCGCGAGGACCGGCGACGAGGCAGATGTCGCCCATCTGTGTTTGGGGAGACAGTACAGTTGGTATCGGTCCTTTTTGGTGGGCAGACAGTCGGTGCCTGCCTGTATTTGTGTGCATGGTGCAGCTGGTACCGGCCTGAATTTGGGCGGAAGATGTAGTTAGTGCAGGTCTAAATGTGGGTGGACGGTGCAGTTGGTGCCGGTCCTTATTTTGGCAGACGGTGCAGCTCACACCGGCATACATTTTGAGTGGACGGTGCAGTTGGTGCCGGCCTGCGTTTGGGTGAGCGGTGTGGTTGGTGTCTGCCTGTATTCGGGTGGTGCCATTGGTTCTGGCTTGTATTTGGATGGATAGTGCAGTTGCTACCGGCCTGCGTTTGGGTGAGCGGTGCAGTTGGTGTCGGCCTGCTTTTGGGTGGACGGCGCAGTTGGTGCCGGCCTGCATTTGGCTGAACGGTGCAGTTGGTGCTGGTCTGCATTTGAGAAGACGGCGCAGTTTGTGCCGGCCTGCATTTCAGTGGACGCGCGGTTGGCACCGGCCTGTATTTGGCTGAGCGGTGCCGCGGATGCTGGCCTGTATTTTGGCTGAGCGGTGCCGCGGATGCTGGCCTGTATTTGGCTGAGCGGTGCCGCGGATGCTGGCCTGTATTTGGCTGAGCGGTGCCGCGGATGCTGGCCTGTATTTGGGTGAACGGTCCGCGGATGCTGGCCTGTATTTGGCTGAGCGGTGCCGCGGATGCTGGCCTGTATTTGGCTGAGCGGTGCCGCGGATGCTGGTCTGTATTTGGGTAACGGTGCAGTTGGTGCTGGTCTGTGGTGGAGGGCGTGGCTCCCTATCCGTTAGCAGGAATCAGCCGCTGATTGGCCAGTGAGATTGACACTTCACTGCGAACCGCAGATCATGCAAACGTGCTTTTGCCGGCATACGCTGTTCATGATCAGAGCAATGGACGAGGGTAATGGAGTGATGGAGTAACGGAGTAATGAACCAGGGTAATGGACTAGCTACTGCGCTTTACGCTATGAAGCAGCGGCAGATCGGCCCATGTTGTAACCAGAACGTTCGACTTTGCGTTCAGTGAGTGGAGATCAGCTAAATTTCACCTGCCATGGAGAACGACCGACGCTCTACATTCGTTAGTGCAGCATGCAAATGCTCGATTTGCAAGTGTAGAGCGCGTGATGTCTTCGGAATGCATTTTCATGACGACAAATTTGGACGTCGTTGCAGTTGGCGGAGCTGAGTCGGATTGCTGGTAGCTTTAGGACCCGCAATTGGAATGGCTCAGACATTGCTCAGACATACATGACTCACCACAGTACGAACCGCTGTGCCGCCGTGGAGCCACGTCGCCTCCCCCCCTCCGTTTTTGCCGCCCACATCGTCCCGCAGGTCGAACAGGCGCGAAGGAAAATCGATGCCAGATCGGAAAATACCCCTGCGTGACAGCTTGTCAGTCGCGCAGTACGCCCGGCGACACTGACAGCTTGGTTTGGCACGACTTGGTCGCAGCCCGCCGCTACTCTGCCTGTTCTCGGAGGTGACTGATTGCGTCATATGTTGCAGGTGTTTACTTCAGGGTGGTGACATCGTTGCCCAAATCTGGCGCGAAGGTCGGTAGGTTTAACGAATATACGCCATTTCGCGATCATTGGAGACGGTGCTTCCCTGGCGCCGTGATCACTGGAGATCGTTGTCCCGCGCGCCGCGATCATTAGAGATCGTTGCCAGCGCGTCGTGATCATTGTAGATCGGCCCCCGCGCGCCCCGATCGTGGAGATCGTTGCCTCCCGCGCGCACGCATTCTGTTAACGCGCTTAGAGCACTGGCTTTATCACTTTCATATTTTGGGGTATATTAAGCACGTGCCACATTCATACGACATCTGCATGTTAGGATATAAAAACCCGCCCGTATGTGCCGATTCGAAGTGAACGGCGATTTGTTTTGCT